GACAGAGACAAAGAGGGAGGAAAAGCTGTACACTGAATTCAGGGGTTGCCCTCCCGTGTGCCCGAGGTATAAGGGAGGCTCCCTCTTCCCACCACCTTGTTGACAGAAAATCCATCAAGAGAGAATGCCCGAGACCCTGCTCCCTCCCTAAGGTTCCACGTGCCCGAAGAAGGACAGAGCTACAGGGCCCCACCCCAGAGCCATCAGGTTACCACTCTGCTCACCCCACCCCAGGACCCCCTTAACACAGGCAGGAAGGGGAAGGGACACCCAGCCTTGGGTTCCCCCAACAAGGCCATTCTTGGGCTGAGCTGCTGTTGTCCAGGTTTGATCCTGGCCCTCACCCCGGAACACACCTCCCACAGACCCTTGCACCCCCAAAGCCCGGAGAGGAAAGCCCAACCTACCCTCACCTGGGTCCTCTGGAGTCACACTGAGCTGGGGCAGAGGCACCCAGAGTTGCCACGGTAGCGGGGGAGCAGTTTTCCAGATGGGATGGGCTCCCTTCTGGGCTCTGAGCCTCCCTTCCTCCAGGAGGGTGAAGGGAAGGGAGGAACCTAGGAGACTCAGTGGGTAAGAGAGGCAGACGTACACGTTTACACCACTCCACACACGTGAGGCCGGGACCAGAGGGTGGCACCGACGCCACCAGGCAGCTGTCCTCCCTGGTATGACGTCATTACGTGCAGAGCCACGTTTCCAAAGATGCCTGGGATAAGACCAGCCCTGGTGATCCTGGGACTTTGCTCTCTTCCTCGGCCTGAACCAGCCCCGTGGCCCTGCTCGTCTGGAGAGCCCATTATGAGACACTCGACCGTCCTCCTGGCCGTGGCTCTGGCTGCCCTCCTGGCTCCCGGGGCTGGGGCACCCTTCCTCAGGCAGGGCTCCCGGAACAAGCTGCTTCTTGTGTCCTTCGACGGCTTCCGCTGGAACTATGACCAGGACGTGGACACCCCCAACCTGGATGCCATGGCTCGAGACGGGGTGAAGGCTCGCTACATGACCCCCGCCTTCGTCACCATGACCAGCCCCTGCCACTTCACCCTGGTCACTGGTGAGTGTCGCCTCCGGATGGGGGCAGGAGGATCTGAGAACCAGGTGGGGATCCCCAGTGGGAACCAGAGCCCTGCTCCAGGCAAGAGGTCCTTGCTCCAAGGACAGGACACAGCCAAGGGACCTTTAAGAACCCTCGCTATTGGTGACAATCAAAGGCAAATAAAAACACTCAGTGGGTGGCCAAGCAGGGTGGCTTTTACCTGTAATCCCAGCAATTTGGGAGGCTGAGACAGAAGAATTGCTTGATGCCAGGAATTCGAGGCTGCGGTGAGCTATGATTGTGCTACTGCTCTTGAGCCTGAGTGACAGAGCAGACCCCACCTCTATAAAAAATGTTTAAAAATTAGGTAGGCATCCCAGCAGTGCACAGCGGTCGTCCTATCTACTGGGAAGGCTGAGGTGGGAGGATCTCTTGAGCCCAGGAGTTCAAGCCTGCAGTGAGCTATGATCATGCCACTGTACTCCAGCCTAGGTGACAGAGCAAGACCCCATTGCCGCAAAAAAAATTTAAAAATTAGCCAGGTGTGGTAGCACTCAGTTGTAGGTTTTAGAGACCCTGTCTCAAAAAAAAAAAAATGAGGTCATTAAACAGTGATCACAGGGAGGAAACCCCAAAGGGCTTCTGGAGGTGGTGAGTATGTCAGACAACAGGAGAGCTTCTCTCCCCTCCAGCCCACGGTAGTTCTGCCAGCTTCTCCTCTCCAATCCTTTCTGTCCTTTCCACTTATCACCCCTGACGCCCTCCCTGCCAGATGTGTCCAGGCTGCAGACAATACAGACACAGGTTTTTAAAAGCCAAGTAGCACAAAAAGGTGTTAGAGTGAAAAGCCAACACCCCCAGCAGCCACTGCCTCTCAGACTCTGTGTATCCTTCAAAGACTCTGGGTCAGTGTCCTGGGGCTGCCACAACAAAGGACCACAAACTGGGTGGCTTAAAACCACAGGAATTGGTTTTTGTTCTTCTGGAGGCCAGAAGTCCATGATCAAGGTGCTGCAGGGCCACACAACCTCCGAGGACTCCAGGGGAGAATCCTTCCAGCCTCTTCCCGCTCCTGGGGGCTGCCAGCAGTCCTTGGCAGTCCTTGGCATCCGGCAGCATCACTCCAACCTCAGCCTCCATCTTCACCTGGCCCTCTCCCCGTGTGTTCAAACTTCCCTCTTCTAGGATTGCTTGAGCCCGGGAGTTCAAGGCTACAGTGAACTATGACTGCACCACTGCACTCCAACCAGAGCAAGACCCCATCTCTAACCAAAACAAACAAACAAAAAAATCCCTCTATTTACAAGGACCCCCGTCATCGGATGCAGGGCTCACCCTATTTCAGCGTGGCCTCATCTTCCCCTAACTGATCACATCTGCAAAGACCCTATTTCCAAAAAAGGTCACACTCTGAGGTTCCAGGTGGGCATGACTTTGGGAGACGCTATTCATCCTGATAAAGACAGCTTATCGCCCCACCAGCATTTCTTTTCTTTTTTTTTCTTTTTCTAGAAACTTAATCTTTACGACCAAGGAGCGGCCATTTTAACACTGACTAGTTGTCCTTTTTTTCTAGCTGTTCACTTTACCCTTTAATCGCCAACCAAGGACAGAACCGGTTTCTCAGAGGTAGCAATCGATAATTGTTTTACAACCCCCTCCCCAGCTTGTTTTGTACTAATCAGCTTTTCTATTTCAAGTGATTGCTTCCACCCCTAAGACCCAAGTTAACCTTTTTTTTTTTTTTTTTTTTTTTTTGAGTCAGAGTCTCGCTTTGTCCCCCAGGCTGGAGTGCAGTGGCACGCTCATGGCCACTGCAGCCTTGACCTGCTGGGCTCAGGTGATTCTTTTGCCTCAACCTTCCAAGTAGCTGGAACCACAGGCATGCGCCACCACACCCGGTTAATTTTTTTTTTTCTTGATTTATTGTAGAGATGAGGTCTCGCCAATGTACCCAGGCCAGTCTCGAACCCCTGGGCCCAGGCAGTCCTCTTGCCTCTGTCCTCTACCTTCCAAAGTGCTGGGACCACAGACATGAGCCACTGTGGGCTCCCCCCTGCCACCCACAGCATTTCTATCCACAATTGGAGGCGTGTCATTCTCCCTTGCACACCTCATCCCTTTTACTCTCTGTGTTGCCTACAAGGAAGGGGAGGGAGGGCCACTCTCCATCACCTCTTTTCTCACCTCTTGGATTTAGTACTGCATGGCCGTGTTTCTTTGCAAAAACACATTTCAAAAAAATCTCCTGGGGCTCTCCTCGGTTCATGTAAATTCCTGCTGAGGATGTGGAGAGATGGCTCGGCCATAATTTATCTAATCAGTTCCTTTCTGATGACCATCTAGGTTGCCCCCAATCTTTTGCTAAAATGACCTGGGCAGTGCCAAGGTCCCTGCACGTGTATCCGTGCACATGTGCACATTTAGCTGCAGGATCGACTCCTGAGAGTGGAAGTGGAGCTGCAGGCCAAAGGACACGGGCCTGCTCGTCTTGAACGTGACCTAGAACCTTGGCTCCCACTGGGGGCAGACTCTCCGACACAGCGTCAGAGAGCTTGCCCCCTCACCCACCCTGTTCCCGGCCCACTCCCCCACCCGGAATATGGGGAATCTGGCCTGCCGCCATGCTGTGTCTTCCATTCCTCAGTCCTTCCTTCACTGTGACCCCGAGCCCATCCCACCTCCCCCTGCACCTCTTTCTCCATAGGCAAATACATCGAGAACCACGGCGTGGTCCACAACATGTACTACAACACTACCAGCAAGGTGAAGCTGCCCTATCATGCCACGCTGGGCATCCAGAGGTGGTGGGACAACGGCAGTGTGCCCATCTGGATCACGGCCCAGAGACAGGTATGCCACCCTGCCCACATGGACGCCAGCCTAGGCCCCAATGAGGCCCTGACCCTGAAAGACCCACAGTGCGCCCTTTCCAGGCTCTGGGAGTCTTGCAGCTCCTGGCCTCGTGGCATGGGAGGGTGTTAAATAGGGCCCCAAGGGAGTGGGTGGTGGGTGCTGCTGAGGACTGACCAGAGGGCTACATACAGGCTCAGCCCATGGACAAGCTCTGCCAGGACTTCCCTGGAGCCCTGGGGCCAAGAGGGATTGCTCTGTCCCCTCAGCAGAGGGACAACTGCTCCCTTGGGCCCTGCAGCACTGGGGTAGGGTCACACAAGGACAACAGTTGGGACTCAACAAGAAAGTATTTAGGCCAGGTTCGGTGGCTCAGCATGTAATCCCGAGCTTTGGGAGGCTGAGGTGAGTGGATTGCCTGAGCCCGTGGGTTCAAGACCCGCCTGGGCAACTTGGCAAGACCTCATCTCTACAACAAATCAAAAAATTAGCCGGGTGTGGTAGCGCACACCTGTAGTTCCAGCTACTCGGAAGGCTGAGGTGGAAGGATCGCCAGAGCCCAGCAGGTCGAGGCTCCAGTGGCCAGGAGTGGCCACTGCACTCCAGTCTGGGTGACAGAGTGAGACTCCAACTCAAAAGAAAAGAAAAGAAAATATTTAACAACAAAATGGCTTTATCTCTTTCCCGTTCCACACCCCTCTCGGGGCTGGACATTTCAAAATTCTAAAGGGCCAAAGATAACGTAAGAGGTGGGTTGTGGTGTTGACCCAGGAATCTCACCAATTTGCAATGCTCTGGGAGCCTCCTGCCCAGAAGTGAGGCTTCCGGTCAACAAAGTCAGTGGAGGTTTCCAAGGAGAGCCCAGAATAAACACCAGTGCCTATGCCTACCTGACAGCCAATTGTTCCACTTGAGTCTGATTCCCCTGACTCCAGAAGGATCTATACATGTGCTCATGGCTCCTTCCACAGGGCCTGTGAGTAGAAAGCCAAAACAGAGACCCTGGCTTCTCATGAGGCTCGAGTCAATGAAAGACTGGCCTGCAGGAGCAGATGGGAGGGGGGCCCTCCAGCATGAACAGGGGATGGGAGGATGGGCAGATTCCAAATAAAGCAGTGATTTATGGGCTGAAGGACAAACAGATGGAAGGTTGGAGGGGCAGGGGACTTGCAGACTTGCACTTGGACAAGAGTCAGAAGGGGACACTCTCCAGGCAATGTGGTTTTAAGGGACCTGGAACCACAATGATGAGGATACTGTGTATCTGGGGAGGCTTTTCTATCCATTGTCTAACTGAGTGCTTGAGTCTACCAGGTGCTGTGAGATAAGAGACAGTTCAGAAAGTATAAGCCTTGGCCAGATGCTGTGGCTCACATCTGTCATCCCAGTACTTTGGGAAACTGAGACAGGAGGATTGTTTGAGGCCAGCAATTCAAGACCAGCCTGGGCAACATAACGAGACTCCTGTCTCTACAAAAAAATAAAAGCATTAGCCACATGTAACGGTGTGCACCTATAGTCCCAGTTACTCAGGAGGCTGAGGCAGGATTACCTGGGCCCAGGAAGTTGAGGCTACGGTGACCTGTGATTGTGCCACTACACTCCAGCCTGGGTGATAGAGCAAAACTGTCTCTAGAACAAAAGGAAGAGGAAATTTTTTAAAAGACAACAGGCAGGGCACGGTGGGTCATGCCTGTAATCTTGAACATTTTGGGAGGCCAAGACAAGAGGATTGCTTGAGCCCAGCCTGGAGTTTGAGTTTGAGACCAGCCTGGGCAATATAGTGTGACTTCATCTCTACAAAATATTTTAAAAATTACCTCGGCCTGGTGGTGCATGCTTGTAGTCCCAGCTACTAGGAAGGTTGAGGCAGAAGGATCACCTGAGCCCAGGAGGTTAAGGCTGCAGTGAGCTGTGATCATGTCACTGCACTCCAGCCAGGGCGACAGAGTGAGATTCTGACTCAAAAAGTAAAATAAAAAGCCTCATGGCTGCAGCTAGAAACGGTAATGGATGGGTGGGCAGAGAAGTAGGGGATGGGGGGAAATGTGCTAGTGGAGATGGAATGGGGGCACCCACCAAGGAGCCCTGTCCTTAAAGCTGCCTTACTCTGGCAGGGCCTAAAAACGGGCTCCTTCTTCTACCCTGGCGGGAACGTCACCTACCAAGGGATGGCCGTGACGCTCAGCCGGAAGGAAGGCATCCTGCACAACTACAAAAACGAGACAGAGTGGAGGGCCAACATCAACACGGTGATGCAGTGGTTCACCAAGGAAGACTTGGACTTGGTCACGCTCTACTTTGGAGAACCCGACTCCACGGGTCACAAGTACGGTCCCGAGTCCCAGGAGAGGAAGGAGATGGTGAGGCAGGTGGACCGGACCGTGGGCTACCTCCGAGACACCATCGAGATCCACGGCCTCACGGACCGCCTCAACCTGATCATCACGTCCGACCACGGCATGACGACCATTGACAAGGAAGCCAGCGACCTGGTGGAGTTCCACAAGTTCCCCAACTTTACCTTCCGGGACATCGAGTTCGAGCTCCTGGACTATGGGCCCAACGGGATGCTGCTCCCCAAGGAAGGGATGCTGGAGAAGGTGTACGCCGTGCTCAAGGACGCCCATCCCAGACTCCATGTCTACAAGAAGGAGTGGTTCCCCGAGTCCTTCCACTACGCCAACCACCCCCGTGTCACGCCCCTGGTGATGTACAGCGACCCTGGCTACGTCATCCACGGGGTGAGTCACCTCCTGGAGGCGCGGCCCACTGCGGGGCTCGCTGGCTGGGCTGTGGGTCCTTCCATGTCTGTAAAAGCATCCCTTAATCCTAGCTACTTGAGGAGTGCCAGCCACCAAAGGGACACGCCCTTCACTGTCAATAGGGGTGGGGGGTGCACATCCACATATGAGTTTCGGGTAGCAGGTGGGAAGTCCAGCCACATGGGGGCCTGCAAGAGGCGGGCAAGAGGGAGAGGCTTGATCCCCCATCAGCAGAGCACCCAGGGGCGCTAAACGGGAAGCCTGGAACCCCTCAAGGGAGTGACTCGTGGGGCAAACGTTCAACACAGCGTGAAAGAGGCAGAGAGACGTTCAGCATTTCCTTGGGGTCTCCCCCTTGATCTTTGGGGTCTCAGGATTCAGAGAAACTAAGTCTCAGAACCCCTCCCGCCCCCACGTTGGAACTCCTTCATGGGGTCCTCTGCACTGGCCTATACCCATGGGGTCACTGAAGATTGGAGGTCGTTCTTGAAGGCAGGGGTTAGTAAAATCCTCACCTTATAGGTGAGAAACGGAGGCAGAGAGAGGTAAAGTTACTCAGTGAGTGAAGACACTGAGAATGGACCCAACTATTCTGGCTCTAGAACTGCAGATTTTAACCACTTCCAGATGTTGGCAATTTACCAGAGTTTGTTCCTATTGTCAGGCTTTGGGGCTACTGACATTTTCCTTAAAGAACAGTGCAGCTGCCGACCCTCAGAGGGCGCTGGAGGGGAGGGTGGGTTAGCAAGGATCTGGGACTCTTGCCCCCTCCTGGCAGAGGATTAACGTCCAGTTCAACAACGGAGAGCACGGCTTTGACAACAACAACATAGATATGAAGACCATCTTCCGGGCCGTGGGCCCCAGCTTCAAGACAGGCCTGGAGGTGGAGCCCTTTGAGAGCGTGCATGTGTACGAGCTCCTGTGCCAGTTGCTGGGCATCATGCCGGAGGCCAACGACGGGGACCTCAGCACCTTGCTGCCCATGCTGCGTCCAGGTGAGAGCAGGTGCCCCTCTGGCACCCCTCCGCCCAGGCCCGTTCTGGTGTGGCTTCATGTGTGTGTATGTACGTGTGTGTGTGTGTGCGCGCGCGCACACCTCATGCCCACAACCAGGCCACCCCACAAGCACCTTGTGCATCCTGGGTCCCCAAGAGGGAAAGCGGGCAGAGGGAACAGCCTCCTTTGAGATGGAAATGGAGAGAAGTATGTGGGTTGCCCCAGGAACAAGTCCATCTCCTGGCACCTGGATTTACACACCCCACTCTCCACCACAGTCACCTAAGAATATCCTTTCATCTATCTTCTTCTATCAGTCCCCCACGCATACACCTCCCCACCCCCACCCTGATGCACCTCAAGGGCAAAGGTCACCCAGAAGCTATCAAGATGGTGGACCCTAGTAGGGGCCTGGCTGGGGTGGGGAAGTCTACTGAGCCAAGCTGTGAAGGACCATGGTGAACATGGGACTAAGGGGGCCATAAGAGAGCAAGTTGGGGGCTTGTGGGGACTCCCGGAGGACCCTGGTCCACCATGGAGGAGCTGGGGTGAGAAGCCACCCTTTACCTCTCTCATGGATCTTCTGGCTTTCCTTAGGACTCTCACCAAGTCAAGGGCCTACTCCCTCACCAAGCCAAGGGCCTGCTCTCTCACCAAGCCGAGGGCCTGGCCTCCCGACAAGCCAAGGATCTGATCTCCTGCTAAGCAGCCGGCCTCCCTTGCTGGGACTGCTGGGAGCCATGTTTCTTCTGGTCAAGGTCGTGTGATGCACCACCACTCAAGGTTAGAGACCCAGAATCGGAGGAGGGGAGGGTGGCATCACACTCCCTGATCCCGCCCCCTGATACCCTAACTGTGGACCTTGGCAGCCAGAACAGGGCTGTCGGTGGCTCTCATGGAAAGGAGGGGCCCCAGGGAAGTCCCTCCCAGTCTCTCTGCCGTGGGCTGTAGGGCCTTCCAAAGCAGACAGCCCAGCTGAGACCGATAGGTCCACCTTCCCCTGGGAGCCAGAACACCCCTCAGCAGCCTGCCAGGGCTGCCACCTCTCCTCCTCCCTGCCACATCTCCGAGCTCCACCAGGGCCAGCTCAGAAGCTGGCACATGGGGTGCATTTGGGAGGAAAGTGCCAGGGGCTGTGTCCTGAGGCTGGCCTTCGAGGACAGTGTCCCCTTGCTTTTCTACCTGTGCAGTGACAGCCCTCTGACCCAAGCAGAAGTCATTCATTCCTTCTACAAATTTGTAATGGGAGCCAGCTTGATGTCAGTCTCTGGGCTACAGATCGCACCAGGTGATCCAGGCCTGGATGGAGTTTGTCACGTAGGGACCGAGAAGGTGGTCAGGCACAAAGTGAACCAGTCAATACACAGAGTGTGCAGGTGGTGACGGTGGCAGAGAACAGATGAGACCGTAGAGAGGGATGGGGATAGGGAAGGGACTGCGTTCCAGGTGGTCTGGCCTGGGTGGCCTCTCTGAGGAGGTGGATCTGGGGTGAGACCTGACTGATGAGCAGAAGCCAGCTACCCTGGGCTCGGGGAAGAGATCCCAGGTGGAGGGGTCAAGGAAGGGCCCTGGATAGGCCTGGTTGAGTGTGTTTCATGGGGAAACAGAAGGCCAGCGTGTTGGAGGCCGTCACGAGAGGATAAAGAGAACATGAGCTCACCACTGTGCAGTGGCAGGGATGGCATCACACGCCGGGGGTGGCCCAGATGCAGTTGTGCTGGGTCTGATGTCGATGATTAAATAAGTACTCTCACCACCGGGCAGGAGCACAGAAATGGGAGCAGTCTGTGGCCTGTGGAGAGGCTGCTGCAGGAGCCTGGGCAGGACATCCCAGTGGCCAGGGGAGGGACATGGCGATGTGGCCAGACTCAGAACACCTTGGAGAGGCACAACCTTCAAGTTCTGTGGCTAGATTCTGTCCATGAAGAACATGGAAAGAAGAAGGATGGGTCTGAGATTGGGGTGAAGAGTGGAGGCACTTCCTGAGACATGAAGGTGTCAGGCACAGGAGTTGAGGGATCGAGAGTTCTGTGAATGTCAGTTCAACACCTGTGACATGTCCACATGGAGCTGCTTCTGGGCACAGGTGGGACAGATCAGTCTGGCACCCAGGGATGGAGTTGGGGCTGGGGAGTTAGATTTGAGACTTGTCAGCAGACTGATGGTATCTCAAGCCATGGAGCCAGATGAGAAGACGTGGTGACCACACTGCTCACTGAGACATGTCTGGTGAGATGGGAGAGTCGGGAACTGGTCCTGTCATGAGTTAGGAGAGGAACGTGTTTGCAGAAGGAGGAATGTAGAGACGTGTGTGGCAAAATCTTTCACGGCCAATGTCACAGTCAGAAAGGACCCAAAAAAGCCCTGCCCAGCCACTCCTGTAGATGATGATGCTAGAACCCAGAGACGTTAGCCGCCTAGCCCAAGGGCACCAAAGAGTGAGTGTCCCAATGCTGGGTTTTAAAGTCCTGGTCCTGGGTGCCTCCGGCTACAACACTGGTCTCTCCATGCTTGGGAGTATCTGGTCCTTGCAGCAAGTCTTCTAGCACCAGGCAGGAATGTCGTAGGATTTCCATAGCACCAGAGTCCACAATCATTTGTTCTCCATGAACCGAGAGACAGACTCAAAAAGGCCATGATTCAGATTTCACATGCAAGGAAATTGAAGCACTGGAGAGAGACAACCATGAGAAATCTCCAGCCTATTCTCACGGGGTTTTCCCCAGAGGGACAGCTGCAGTGGTATGCTGGCAAGCCAGCTCTCCAGACCAAAACGAAAAACAAAAACCCGGATTTGCCCATTTCTGTGGTGTAAATACTCCCACCATGGTCCATTTCAAGCCACTAACATGACGTTGGGAAGAAGTCTGCAGCAACGGCCATCAGGGGGCAGCCCCTGAAGCCCGAGCGTGTGGCCAGGAGCTTTGCTCATAGGCTCCCTGGCTTGGAGTGTCCATCACAGCCGGTCAGTTCCATCTGGAACTTGAGCTGCATCCTATGGCCAGTTTCTTTTCTCTAAAGACGGTGTCAGGGGTACTTGCCATAAGTTGAAAGGAACATCGTGTTACAGGCACAGCCCCTCACGTGGCTTTGCAGGGTCCCCCTGACCAGACAGAGGAGCAGGCACAAGAGACAGGGAGGCTCTCTTCTCCCCTGGGCCTGCTCAAGACCCAGTGAAGCCTGGGAAAGTGTCTGTCCCCTGCCCAGAGAGAAGGATCTAAGGCCACCCCCATCATTCCTCTACCCCCATGCCCAGACCTGCACCCACTTGTGCCCTTCCAGGCACAGCCAAGAAGCTGGAATTCCCACAGGGGTCCTTCTCAGTCACAACCTGCAAGAGACAGCCCCCCGACTGCCTGCCCTCCCAACACCTCCTCCCCATGACTCCCTCCCTCCTATGTCCTGTCACCTCCTCCAGACCCGCCCTCACCCTGCCCCATCCTCTCTTCCCAGCCCAACACATGCCACTTGTTCTTCCAGAAACCTCTGGAAGCTGCCCATGGGCCCTGAGCGGACACTCTGGCTGTGATGCTCTACTGGACACAATGGACCTTACCTCCCAGTATATCCAAGGCCACAGACCGTATGCTACTGTCGCCACAGCGCCAGCTCCTGCGTGGCCACTGTGATGATGGTAAGAAGCCTCTCTGCCCAGGTTCACCGCTCCCAGCGCTCAGGCCGCCCGCACCCCCGAAAGGGCTCCCCTCCCCTTCGGTCTCCCTCCTGTAAAACCCGTCCCTGATACAAAATAGAGTACCCAATTAGCAAGAGAAGAAAACATTGTTCTCATCTATGTGTATTTCACTTCCACATTTCAAAAGTATATTTTATATAACATAAACCATGTTCCATTGAAAATTATATATTTGCTTTTAAAAATATTTTCAATGTCTTTAAAATGTTCATTAAAATGTTTTATCGCATTATTTGTAAACATCATTTAAACAATAAATCAATTTATCACAGTTCATTAAAAAAAAAAAAAAAACCCGTCCCTGAAGCGGCACTGCCGTCTACGGCCACGCGGGGGCGCGCGGGAGCCCTGCGGGTGGAAAGGGAAGGGTCTTCAGTTGCGGTGCCGGAGTCTCTGCCCAGTGGGCCTCGACCTCGGCCCCAGACACCCTGGAGGGGCGCTGTCCGGCACCAAACACCCATGGAAGTAAAGGACAGGCCCCGTCCATGCCGAGCAGACGTCGGCCAAGTCGCAATAGCCCACAAGGGGGGGGGACTTTTTCCCTAATACCTGCTGGCTTCCTGGGTTGGTGACTGTTCTACCCATCGGCCCCTGTGTGTGATAAATGTTTAACTCCTTACCACGGATCACAAACACCGGGACCCATTCCTTCTTGTGGGGATAGGCCCTGGTTGGCTGCGGTGCTCAGCAAAAAATAACAAACGGATGGGGCTCGGTGGCTCATGTCTGCCATGCCAGCACTTTGGGAGGCCAAGTCGAAAGGATTGCCTGACCCCAGAGGTTCAAGGACAGCCTGGGAAACTTGGCAAGCCCTCGTCTCCAATACATTAAAAAAAAAAAAATCAGCCAGGCATGGTGGCGTGTGCCTGTAGTCCCAGCTACTTGGGAGGCTGAGGTAGAAGGATTGCCTGACCTCAGCAGATCGACGCTGCAGTGGGTGTGAGCATGCCACTGCACTCCAGCCTGGGCGACAGAGTGAGACTCCAACTCAAAAACAAACAAAACTATTTTCTAGGAGCATGGGCTTTGGAGTCAAACAAATTCGTGTTCCAGCCCTAGTCTCTCACCCAGATGTGGCATTGGGTGAAGTCGGGGACTGCCCCCGCCTCTGTTTCCTCATCTGAAAAAGTGGGATAATGAGGAAAGTGCCCACCTCCCTGAAGTGCCCGAGGACAAGGTGTGGCTCCTCAGAGAGACCTTGGCACCCAGGCAGGGGCTTCTGGGAGGCAACCTTTGGGAGAATGAGAACCCAGCCTTGGGAGGTGTTGAGTTTGTCAAATGCTGCTCTCAAGAATAAACTGACTGTGACAGGGTGAGACCCATTCTTTGAAATATGAGTTTGTCAGGATCTATTTCCTGCCTACAAAACCCTTCTCCCCTTCTGGGGTCTCTTCTTGCTGCCTGTGGCCTTAGTTCCATCCAGTCCCCAGGGTCCCCCCTGACCCACTGCCTAGGATGGAGTCCTGCCTCGGGTGGAAAGGGTTGTAGGCCCCCCGGCCCCAGATCCAATGGTTTTCCTGGAAGAACTGCCCTCTTCCTCACCCCATCCCCTGCAGCCACATCCCAGGACACCCAGGCCAGCCTGCCCATCCGCACCCACTCTGACCCTATGGCTGGGCCAGACCCTTCCGGGACAGGCCCAGCTCCAGTCTTGGCTGTCTTAAGCCTGCCCATCCGGCTGGAGGAGTCCACATCTACCACCTCTGAGCAGCAAGGGCTCACAGGTGCTGGCATAACTACTGAGAACGTTGGTCTCCAAAAGACATCCAGCCTTACTCTGAGACCCCACAATGACCATGTCTGTGTGTTCAACCTCATTCGTCTACTTTCCAGGGGCTGAGCCAACAGATGCTTTGAGACATGCTCCTGATTGGCTTTATCTAACAGAAAAAGCAAAGAAAAGGAGAGAAGAGAAAAGAGAGGAAAAGAACCTGGTCTGTCTCATATTAAACATTCCATTACTCCAGATGTTGGATGTCCCAAGGGCACCACCGAAAACATCTCAGTGGCGGGCCGACAACCCACTAAACAAGCTTCCTGTGTGAGGAGACAGGGCTGAGGCCTGGCTGCACACGGGAAAGGGAGAGCTGTTTTTCCTATCTGTGCAGCCTTGGGTGGGTGTGGAATGCCGGGGCCCAGGTTCAAATCCAGCTGTCGCACTACAAGACTCCCCAGCTCTGTAGCCTTAGGCAAGTTGCTCACTTCTCTGGACCTGTTTCTTCATCTCTAAAATGAGCATTGATAAAGGATTCATCTCATAGAGTGGTCACAGTGATTACATGAGTTAATACTTGCAAACGGCTTGCAACAGAACCCAGTAGTGGAAGGCCTAAGTGTTCTAAAGAGACAGGGTGATGATCACTTTGTACCAAATAATGAGGAAGTCACTCCTCTTTTAAACCCACCTCCAAGGCTTCTTGTTTCTCAGCAGAAAGTTTCTGGATAATGAAGCCAAGTCCTAGCACCTCTCTTTTGTGGCATGGAGAGAGACACCAGGCTTCCAGTTCCTGCAAGCTACTGTATCAGGAAGGACTCTTACAGCAGTTTTATTTGCTTTGTTTTTGTTTGTTTTCTTTTTAGAGATAGTGTCTTCCTTTGTCACCCAGGCTGGCCTCCAGCTCCTGGCCTCAAGCAATCTTCCCAACTTGGTCAGGCGTGAGCCAGCACCACCGGACTACTTGCATTGTATTTGGTTTTACTAATCACCTTCCATGTTTGGTCAGTACCACTCACTTTCCATCTACATCTGTTTTTGTTTATTTATTTGTTTTTCCTTTTAAAATCAACTGAAGGGTGTTGAACCCAGTCTCTCTCCCCAACTGCAGGACCCTGTTACAGCGGCCTCTATACCTATCCCAATGAGCCTTAAAAAGTCTTTTTTAATTAAATTAAATTAAGTAATAGAGAATGAATTTACTTAAAGAAAAACGTTGACAGAGTAATGGTGTAGGTGACCGCCAGGAGGTCGGCCAATAGCAAACCTGCTGGAGGTCACCCCCGCTCCCAGAGGTCATTCCCATTCCTACCTGCCTCTACCGCCTATCAACCATGTGGCCAGCCCAGGAAGCTTCTGGAAGGCAGCATGGGCTTCCCAATGGCCAGCACTCAACGATTCGCCCCCAGGGAGTCTATGTTTCCCAGGTGTCCTGCACCCCTCCTGGCTTCCAGTTGGCTGAGTTCAGAACACAACTAAACACTGGTCTTACACTTCTCTGTACAAAGCTCATTTTAGTATCAGCCCAGGTGAAACCGATTACAAAGAAAAAAATCGCAGCTGAAACAAAGTTGTGCATTGCATCCTGGATCCACTTGGAGATGACTGGGGACAAGCCACGCTTATAGAGCATACCCCCCATAAATCTCTATCAACCCAAAGACTTCTCTGAATTTGGCCGATCCAGACGCTAGCAGTAAGGCATAAAACACCTGGGTACTGACCGGAATGGTTCTTGCATGGCCGGGTGGACCACTGGGACACAGGAAGCCCCCTTTGTCCCTTTGTCAGGAAGCCCCACCCCTTTAGAGTGGGCTCTGCATGCTGTCACCAGGAGTCAGTACTCTTGGGCTCCTCAATACTCCTTGAAACCTTTCTCAAGCAGCTTCTGAAGTGGTAAGAAGAATTCAGAACCTCCTGTTCGTCCAGCTTCTCCTACTCCTTTCGCCTTCTCTGAAATAGCTTCAGTCCCGCTCAGATTCAGCCTTGGGGTAGTGGTCAAGGACTATTTAAGAATTTGCTCAAGTCATAGATAGATCCCCAAATGAGCAATGGTAGTTCAGAGAAGAGAACTATAACGTTCAGAACCAGGATTTTGTGGGGGTCCCCTGAGAGGGGGGATCATGGAGTCTCATCCTTAGCACAAAGACCACCCTGGATCAGTGGTTCCTAAATTTGAACTTGCCTCAGAATCGCCTTGTTAGGTCAGATGCTGGGTGTACGCACACCCACAGACACACACACTTCTGAACAGAGTCTGGGGCAGGCCTGCGAGTCTGTATTTAGGCCTAGTGCCCTGGTGATTCTGATGCTGCTGGCCCAGGCGCCAAACCCTAGAATCACAGCACTTGGTAAAGGTCATAAATAAATGAAGGAATGAAAACGAACCTAGCCCAACCTCCTCATGCTAACAGGATAAAAAGGCAGCGTCACCCACCAGGCTGGCTCTGGGCAGAGTGGGGAGGAGAGACAGGATCTCCGAGTTCAATCCTGATGGGACCTGGCCAGCCCTTTCCTGAAGGTGGGTTTCTCCCTGAAGCACATATTATGTCCATTCTCCCCAGAACCCAGAGCAGCTGCCAGGATTCCTTCTTTTCCACCGAAAACTCCTGTGTGGCAAACGCAGGGGTCTCTCTGGTTCATTTTGCAATATTTATTTATTTATTTTAGGAACAGGGTATCGCTCTGTCTCTCAGGCTGGAGTTCAGTGGCGTGATTTTAGCTCACTGCAACCTCAATCACCTGGGCTCAAGCGATCCTCCCACCTCAGCCCCTGGATTGCTGGGACTGCCAGTGAGTGCCACCACCCCCAGCCCCTGTGGCTCACAATCGGTCATTTATTTTGTCCTGAGACTCAACAGAACCCACAAGTTCATGTGACTGGACAGCTCTGCTTATGATGAGGCCCAGGGTTTGTTCCTTAACGCCAGCGTTTCCCAGTCTTTAGAAGGACAGGTTTTTCTCCTGTGGGCGGGGTCCTAAGACCTGGCTGCCCACCTCATGGCTGTCAGCGCTTTACACAGGGGACTTGCTTGGAAGGAAACAGCAGGAATGACTCTGTCCCCATCCCCAGGCCTACAGAGGACTTGAGTGGGGAGGCCCCAGCTCTGGGACCGAGGAGGGCGTCCCGATCTCTTCCCCGCCCCCCACCCACCCACCCCCACATCTTGAGCCCCACCGGGAGGGGTGTCCACGCAAAGGATGATTTGCAGGGGTGTGTCCCGGGGCAACCCGCTCGTCCGCG